CTCCAAACCCTAGGGTAATACCTGCAGATATCAAGAAAGAAGAAACAGATGACTTTAGCAAGAGAAACGGATGTATATCAACACTTGATTTATATAAAACTAGTTTCATGGTTGGACTATTCAAATTTCAAAATGAAATCGAATGAAATCAATAGAAGTCCACAGAATTGCGCATGGTCTTTAAGAAAGATCTTTAGGTGAAAAAGATGATAAGAGATGGAGTTAGTATTGAAGCTGGGGATGGTAGATAGACAAACAAACCTCCCTTTGTTATGACTGTTGGCTACCAGAAGACAGAATTTGTGAAAGGCTACAAAAAATAGCTGAGTTCACCGTGGGCAGCATGAAACAAAAGTTCTCAGTGGAGACAATCTGGATGGCAGATACCAACTAGATCTTCTGGTATGGTGGCTGAGATAAAGGGCTTGACTTTGTCTAAGGGAGCAGATAATGTTTTCTTGCACTCAAGGGGCTTATCAATCAAAGTTGTCAATTGTCAATTGATGAGATTCCAGGTTTATAGAGTTCCTTGGTTTAGATAGGTGTGGCACTGTGGCATTCTAGTGGGGGATTCCTAGACAACTGTTTATCCTATAGATGCTAGTGACAAGCTCTGTTGAAGACATAGGTACTGAACTGCGGGGGCATGCGTTTGAGTTTAAATTGTTTTTGAGTTTAAAATTGATTTATATTCTAAAAATGATAAATAAAAGTCCACAAATATGGATCTTACCCAAAATTATAGGCCAGGCTATTTTGCCTTTGGATTTGCAAGCCTAGTCCCCTATCTTATTTACACAATTTGGGTCCCAACCACAGTTAAAATTGTGCCTGGGGTCATTGCATTTGTCAATTTCTAAGACAATAAATAAATAAAATCAGCAAGACATTACTAACAAAAATAAAAAATATCATAGGCATAATAAAAAAATTCCAATTGGTACACCTGCCACCCTTGGTTTACCTTGACATCCATAAGGTAGGGATGGAAGAAGTATTATAAAAGAAGGAAGAATTAGCAATAGTACCATTAAACTGGGAACAATTAAATGCATGATCATATCTATATGGTAATTGTGATGCATCCCCATCAGTAATCACCCAGTCTAACACAGCTGGAGCATATCCATATCCCTCAGGGAGCAACAACATTCGCCTTTTGTAGGACATGAAAGGACTTCCCGAGAAATCCAAAAAATTCAAACTTACAGAACACTGCTGGGAGATGATTGGTATTTTGACATTAACTATGCTGTGATCAAGAGAGAAATACAGCATCTCAGTCTCTATGCTGGTTAGTAAATTTGTAGGGGGTTGTTGGAAGTGCCGCTGCAGGAGACCTCAAACCCTTTGTGCATGTAGCAATCTGCTCTGATTCCAAAGGGGTATGGAATGCTGACATTCCCACAATGCTCTTTACAACCAGGCTTCACCAGTGCCTGGCCTACTGCTGATTCAATCATTAGCAATTGTAGGAAAGCAAAGACAGATGTTCTTGTGATGATCATCATTTTTTTGTTCCTCAGATGCTTATTAGATTTGAGATTTAGGAAACATTAAGTAAATGGAACTTTATATGGTAAAGATGAAGAAATGTATGTAGGATGCATGTTCTGGGACTAACTGCTCAAACATTGAAGTCCAAACTCCAAAGGACAAAAGACTCAATTGGCCGGATTCCCTAGATATAATTATGATGCATTACTAGAAAATTTTAATCCACTTAAAAATCCGTTTTTCCTTTAGAGGATGGTTGGTAGCCACTTGGAAATATTCTAAGCTTTTAAGTTTGACATAAAAATTCTAATGCTTGGATATCATTAACTCATTCACCTGTTGATCAATTGATTAATACTCCTTTTAGTCTGATTTAGTTGTCTCACTAAATAGATCTGGTCTAATTAGTCCTCTCACTTGTTAAATAGAGGTAGTCAAATTTAGTTATCTCACTTTCTATTTTAAAAAGACCTCTTTTTTAATGAAGTTTTAAAAAGATTCTAAATACTAGTATTTCAATTATCATTATCTGAGATGAAATAAAAATGCATTTGAGTCTTTTGGTTTAATTGTGAGTAAGGATGAAAATGGAAAAATGTAGACTGAATTATATCATCTTGGTGCTCCATATTATGCACAGTGGAAATTAGGCCTCTTCTTGTCTTATGATACTTGTTTTGACTTCTGAGTTTGCAGATAGAAGAAAACTACTTTAAAAGGCTATTTCAAGGGAATAACTATCTACTTTGACGCTTCTGCACTCTGGTAAGTCTTATTACCTGGTTTTTCAATGCTATAATTACCGTGTTATCTTAGAATGTGTTTTTTTAGATATACAGGAATAAAGGGCATTTCATGCTAGTCTGATGATTGTTTTGTTAATGCTGAAGGTGTGAATAATTATATTTTCCTTTCAAATTTCTCCTCATACTTTCATGAGGTAAACCAAGCAAGGAAAATATACTCAATGTTTTTTTTCTTAACAGCAAAACCTCCTCATACTATTATTTGTCTGAGAAGTGAAAATTTCAGGATAGTTGAGCTGGAATTAGGAAATGACTTTGTGCTAGCATTTTGAGGAATACAATTAAATAACTCATGCATACATATATTAATATGCATATAGCACCAAATCTAAAACTTGACTTAATTTAATCTTCGCAAGTTTTTGTGAGACAAAGAATTTAAAACTGGAAAGGAAATGGTCTTAGCTGTCATCATGATATCAAATTATTGTAACCGAGCAGTGCATAAACTTTATTTGAACTTTAAACCACACAGCAACAAAAATAAAAATTAGATGAACTACAAATTTTCAAACACTAAAGAAAGAAAGAGCTTACTATGTTCCTCAACATGGAATAAATTCATTCTAGGATAAATCAGTGAAATCCCTGTGATTTATTGGAAATTAATGTCTGCATGCCTATGAACAAAGAAGCTCCTGATTAAACTTTTCCAATGGTTTTGTTATCATTAAAATCATCAAAGGAATTCACAGCTCCAGAGTCCAAACCTGAACCTATTGATGTCGAGGTACCATCCCAGAGATTGGTTACTTCACTTTTGACATATGTAACCTCTTCATGATTCTGTTGACCATTTGAATTGTTTTGCAAAAGATGAATCTGCTCTAACTCAGTAGCAACTTCTATCATCTTTGGCCGCATTTTGCCATTCAAGTTCAAGCATCGATGTGCAAGTTTAGCAACCTTTGTTATCTCTTCACGTGCAGAACTCTCCCTAACTTGAGCATCAAGAATACTAAAGAGACTATTATCTTCCATGGAATGAATGAAATGAGAGGCCAAACTTCTTCCTCCTTCTGCCCTTGCTAAAGAAATTGGTTTTTCTCCTGTTAAGAGCTCAACAAGGACAACTCCAAAACTATAAACATCACTCTTTTCTGTAAATTGACTAGATTGGTAATATTCAGGGTCTAGGTATCCATATGTGCCATGTACATTTGTGGTCAAATGAGTTTGATCAATGGCAATTGATCTTGATGTCCCAAAGTCTGAAACTTTTGCCTTGTACTTTTCATCCAATAGAATATTTGAGGACTTGACATCTCTATGATAAATGGGAATAGAGGCTGCCGAATGCAAGTAGGAAAGGGCAGCAGCAACTTCTGCTGCAATTGTTAACCGTCTTTCCCAGGTTAATGGGAAGTCTTCATTTCCATCATGTATGTACTGGAAAAGTGTCCCATTAGGGATGTATTCATAAACTAGCAAAGGAACTTCAGTCTCCAAACAACAGCCTAATAACTTAACAATGTTTCTGTGATTAATTTGTGTAAGAATGACCACCTCATTGATGAACTCTTTAACTTTCTCTTTATCCATTTCTTTGGACTTCTTAACTGCAACAATTTTCCCATCAACCAACATTCCTTTATAAACAGTGCCCTGGCCTCCCTGACCCAGTATTCTATTGCTGTTGAAATTGTCAGTTGCCTTCTCCAACTCCTTGGTGCTGAATATTTTGGTCCTTTCAATATTACCCTCAGTTGAAGAAAGTTGTTGCTGCAATAATAAACCTCCATTCT